CGTGCCCGTGGCCTTCCACTTCTGAGATATGATCGACTTTTTGTCCAAAACAGCGATTTCTTCGCTTTTTGAAAATGTCTTTTCTCTGTTATCCTAATGAATTAAGCGGTGATATTTTTCAGGCAGCTGGCCCCACTGATTCTCTACCTGCTCCAAAAATTTCGAATGAATGGCTAGTTTGGAATTCAATATGCCGAATTTTTAATTGTGTAGACGTGTATTTTCATTGGAAAGAGAGAAAGAGTCATTTTTCCTGTTCGACTACGTGTCCACTCGAAAATGGCAGAGAGAAAAGATTTATGTATGCAGTACCCTTTTCTTATTCACCCATCTCATTTCGAAAAACAATCGGAGCAACTGATATTGCAGCCATACTGGCTGAGCGGATTTCAAAAAACGAAACGTACGGGAGATGTTCAAGTTCAAGAGCTCGTGAGCATCTCTTCGAAACTATTCACAATTTTCTGTGTCGTTATTCGAAATTAGCGATAAATCTACACTAGAACATGCACATTCATTCAATGATTTACCCGAAGATGAATTTCAAGAAAGCGAAGTTGATGAACCGATAGAATCAGATGAGGAAACGTACTTTCGTTACTTTCTTCCGATCTTTTAATAATGAAAACCCCAAATTTGACATGTATCACGTATTGAATATCTGTTATTTTATTTAAAAAATAAAGAAAATAAATGTGAATTGTTAAGATCACGTCTTTGAGTTAATAGAACCAACTACATTTTCGAAAGATGCTAAATTCAGACATAAAAATGAGGAATATTAGCAAGAGCGAACCGCTTTGCGATCTTCAGGAAGTTGAGGTGGAACTCGACTTTGTCTTAACCAATCTAACCCAAGAACCATTTCAGTACCTCTTTGTGATCTCTAAGTGTCGTAAAACAAAACACTTCTCGAAGAGTATGCTGATTTGTAAAAACTGAGAGAACTTTCCGAATCTACCAACATTTCTCATGTTAAATACTAAAAGGAGCAGAGATCTGTTACAGAATAAATTGTTGCAATGAAGACTTTGATAGATGTGAAAGAAGCAAGAAAAAAATTAACTTAAAATATACCTCTTACTTTTTTAACAGGTAAATAGTATTTCTTGATAGGAATAATAGAATATTTACTTGAATGAAGACAGCAAAAAGCGAAAGAAATCAAAGAAAAAAACGAAATACCTTATTGTTCTTCTATAAAGGTGTTTGAATATAGTTTATAACCGCATGATGTATACAAAAAAATCTTTTTTCGAAAGCGTCACATTTAATAGAAGAAGATCAAGACTGAGGGTAAAGTGTTTGTTATCGCTGAGATTTTGTTTGAGCATCATATAACACGAAATCTAGGAGCTAATGCTGAATAGTCTATGTCTTTTCACACTAACACAAACTTGTCCATGACAGCGACTTTTGGTTTAGATCAGCTTTCAAAGGAGGAAAACTAGCACGACACCTTCTGTATAATACGCCAGAGTCTCTCGGAATGTTACATGTACGAAAGCTAGAAAAAGAACATCCATAGTGGATGAGAAGCTGTTTTTGAAAAGTTATTTTTATTTTTAATATGGTATTTATATTTTCGAGTGGTTTTGTCTACTTAGTAAAGAGGAAATCTACGTTTCATTTACTCAAGCGATGAACAAGCAATGTGACTGCTCTAGTTACTGTTATTAGTCCATTCAAAATAAATCTTACAACTATATTACACTAACATAACAAACTAAAAGCAACGCTAAGATATTTTGTCCACGGCTCACCGTAGTTTGACTGCTTTCAACCAGCCCTTCTTTAAGGCCTCACCCCCCTCCAAAACGTCGATTTTCGTCAAAAAAATGGATTTTGCTATAAACACATGGGCATGATGCTTGAGTTGTCTACTTTACAATTCCGTAAAGATATTATTGAATCTCTAAGTTTTTTATGGGATTTTCGTAAAAAAACTTAAATTAGTTGGAATTATTATTACTTATATTTATATAATATTATAATTATTATGTACAATAGCGACCAGTAGGTGACGCCATCTATCGCTGGATACGTCGCGACAATCATAGTGCAATGCCCTGTGACGTGTATTTACCACTGACATGCAATTCTTGCATTTTTATGTTGGTTGCAGGTAATATTCACAAAAAAAACTTGTTTATCGTTTTTCTCAAAGCCGAGTTTTTTGTAAAATATCAATCTCTGAACAAATTTTTCTTCACTATAGTTTATTCTATTAAACTGCGTTTTTTTTTATTTGATAGATAGATATATCCTTCTCCAGATGACGAGAAGGAATTTTTTATTTGACTCTCAATCTATGAGCAATCAGGTATTTTATGAAAAATCCTACAGAGGGTTTTCAGAACTTCAAAGTTTTGTAGATCCCACCCAAGAAAAAAATCAAAATTAAAAAAGCCCTTTCCCTCATCTGAAGCACCAAGGAGTTCTCTTTCAAATGAGACCAGCCGGAGCGCTCCATCTTGAAGTGTATTGAAAAAATCCTTGTACGCGTAGGCCCCCCATTTTGCCCCTTGGTACCTGTATATCTCTCAACTATATAGCAGATTGCGAAGTCGCACAGCGACTCGCTATGGTAACTTATATATAACACCGGCCATGTTAGAAAGTTTAGTGAGAAGAATTTGGAGTATAATCGAAAGTTACGCAAGCAGAACGAATAGGTACCTATTATTGTCTAGCGTCTCGAAAATAGAATGTGTTAGCAGAGTAAGAGGATCACCGTCGAAGCATGAAATAGAAAGCCGAATTGAGCCTTATTCAAAAAGTCGTTTTTACTATGATGTCCCATTTATTTCTGATAAATCGTTCGAAAATTTTGCTGACATTAGGTAATAAGCTTATTAAACGATAATTTTTTATTCTATTTTGGCTTTCTATTTTAGTAAGAGACGAAAGATTAGTAGAAGACTCTTTGCAAGAACTTTCTACCCGAAAAGAGTGTAAAAGAAGTGTTTTGTAAATCTACTTTGTAAATCTACTTTATCTACCTTGTAAATCTACTTTATGCTTACCATCACGAGTCACTACAATGCCTACATTGTCCCGAAAAATTGACTATACAGTAGAAGAAAAAATTTGGCAGAAGCATTTTGTCATGAAAGTTGCTAAAGAAATTATTGTTTTATCTATAAAGAGAGTAGAGTTTATACTACATTTGGGGATAAATACACGTTTTGCCTGATATACAAAAGAATTTTTTAAAATTAGTCGTGTTGAGAACCGAATAATTAACCATACATTTGCTTGTCTCTGATTTTCTAGACATTTCTCGAACAGATGAACTTTATATTTTTATACCGTTCGAAAGAGAATGAATGCGCTACACGTTGACAAAGAGATGATTGAAAAAAACCTTTCAAGAGCTCCAAAATAAAAATTGAGAAATGTTCTCTCGGAACTTAAAACTGAGTGTTTCGATCTAAGACTAAATAAAAATCTAATCCAAATACGCCATTCGATAGAGGAAAGAAACTACATACATCAGGTTCTATCCGAAAATGGAAAGAAAAATTTTCTTGAAGGATATAGGCCACAAGATAAGATCGTTCTCTTTTTGCGCACAATAACTGCAAACAAGTTGTAAATCGCTCATCTGTAACTAAGAGCGTTATATGTCGACAGACTCTGTTGGACATATAAGGCCTGCACGGTCAATTTTTTCGGAACACTGTAATGTAATTGTGAGTGATCTTTCCGAGACTAATTGATTTCTTTCAAAAATTTTCTATGGTTTTGTAACATGAAGGACTTCCATGTATTAGCTATTTTCGCGTAAGTGGCACTTATTACTCTGTTGCGTAACTTACAGAATTTGTTGAGCTAAAAAGACGAGTGGCTCTGACGTCCTGCGTGCTAAAGTCAATCTATGCAAAGATTCATCACATTTACGTATTAGACATTGCATATATTTCGAAGTTTTCTTTTTAACCTGTTTCGTACTATCTATAATTCTCAACAGGACATAGATTGAAAAATATGAATAAACATTTTGAATCAACTCTTAGATATTCAAGTGGGAACCTTTAAAAGAGAAAAATTCCTGATCAATGTTATAAATACCAACACAAAGTCCATTCGAGTCACAGTTTGAAAGTCATGAGCGAATCATGGCAGCAATAGAACATTTGAACGGAAAACTAGCTGATAATGTGTGATGAATTGGTCTCTAGCGAGCTAAGATGTGGAACGAATGGATTACTGGAATTCCGATAACCTGAATTTCGTCACCTGGAGTTCGACAATATCGAAATTCCAAGAGACTTTTGACAATCTTGTCAAACTTTCCCTACAATTTCAGCAATTCGGAATTTTGACAAAAGTTATATAACCCCAATGATTGTATTTTTTATTTATATCCTAGCATTATTACTTGTAGGATTGCTAATAGAGTAATAATTATTATTGTTGAAATTCTTTCGGAATTTCGACAAATGCCGACATTCTATGGGAAATTTGACGATATTGTCCGAAAGAATCTCAACAACTCAAACAAGGAAATTCAGGTGACGAATTCCGATTCACCAAGCGAATGATGTGGACCATAATTATAGACCGGAGGTACAGGAGTTCCTAATGATGGTATTATGGATAAATGCATGAATGGGCGAGGGGTACCTGTCCGTTGTTTAATTCGTTAGAGTTATACGTAGCATTAAGATCACCTAAAATAATTACCTGATTATCACAAGATATATTTGCCAAAATAAACTGTCCATAGTTCTTAAAGGATTCAGCCATGTGCTTCGAGTTCGTAGTCGGTGCATGTTATGTACTTTATCTTTAGCGTAGGTTTTTCTTTTTTTAGAAGTTGAAGCTCATTTTAATAGAATGAAAAAATCATGTTTTACTATACGAATTTGCATATAGTTGTTTTGAAAACGCTTAAAGAAAAGATGCATTTTATCTATTTATGTGAGTTTTAAAGAAAGTATTATTATCGTTACCATTATCACTTCTCAACCAACTCCAACAGCCTCATTGCTCAAATGGATCCTGACTCAAGATTACGTTACGTTGATATTGGCGATGAACCGATGATACATTTGGAACCAGTAAGGGTAGGTTTATTATGAATGTCCGAAACGAACGGCGCCGGATTACTACAATATTGAAACCGTTTAATCCTTTAAGTGACAGTGGTGCTAGGAGTACTGGATATCTTAAATGGATCAGATGAAAGAGGTTATGGAAATGTACCATTGATGTCACTGGACATGGCTGTTGAATCCCTAAAACCTATAATCGACATATTACCAAGTGTTTGCATAGCAAAACAAAACTGTCAACATTTTCACGATAATTTGACAGTAGATGAATCTGCTGCTATTCGTTTATATACAATGCAAAGTCTTTTTAAACACCTTAATGAAATATTACGTTCGAAAGTCAGAGCAGAATTACTGCGCCCTTGGCTTCCTTACTTAAAACTACTTCTAATGGCATTATACAAACTACCATCAGTTAAAAAGACAGTTTGGCGTGGGACCAACTTAGACTTAAGCACATTGTATAAACAAGGTGATAGATGTACATGGTGGGGTTTCAGTAGCTGTACAGAATCAATTACAGTAGCCGATTGCTTCCTTGGTGAATCTGGTTCTCGAACATTGTTCTGAATAAACAACGGGTTGCTTCGAATTCAATTATACAAAAACCGAATGGACAGTGAAGATTTTAAATATTCTGAGCCGATTGTAAATTTTAATTTAATCGAACATTTTGATGGAACTGTAAGTGAAAAGCATGAACTTTTTTCTATTTTTTGTGAGTGGAACTCGCGTTTCTC